TCTCCGTATATCTACTCAGTATATTAAAATCACGTGTTTCGGGAATTTGAAAAATTAATTAATAAAAATAATAATACAGTCAAACCTGTCTAAACGGTCACTGCTTAAAACAGCCAGCTACTTTAAAACGGTCACTATTTAATGTCCCAATTTTTTGGACAATGACTGTAATACTAAACTTACCTGTCCCAGCGGTCTCTCTGTAAGATGGTTAACGGTCACCGACAGAATTAATCTCCATCAAGACTGATAAAGACCACCACTGTGTACAACAGGCGGCCAGATAGCCACGCCTATTGTACCACGCCCATTTTGAATTAATTTTTACATCATTAATAATGATTAATTTTTGTTAAATTGTTATCTCAAATAATACCTTCGAAATAATACTATATACCACTCAGTTTAGGTCTTTAGGGGTACCTAAAAGTTCTTTAAGTCTTGTTATATAGTTTCTATGGCCAGTAAATGTGTACAAAATAATTTAAACTGTATTTAAAGGCATTTCTATAAAAAGGCCACCTGCATAAGACAGCCACTAAATGCATGTCCCAAGGTGACCGTTTTAGACAGGTTTGACTGTATCATCAAAACCATAGCAAATAAACATTCAGAAAAGGAAAAAAAATACCATTAAGACACATGAAGAAAAACAATACAGAATGCAAAAATATTATTACTATTATTGAAGGGTAATACCATAAAGAGATTTCAGTTTATCAGGTATTCTTTCAGCAGCTGCACGGCCATCTGTCTCCTTCACAGCGTCTATCAAAGTCTGCCATGTTCTACTAGTTGCATTATCTTTACCCTCTAGCCATGCTTCTAAAGTCTTCCTCCAGTGGTCGTCTGCGTCACCACCACTTTTTGCAATGATATTGAGCCTTGGCTGATATAGACCTAGCTTTAGACCCAATTTATTCCAGTTTACTGGACCAAACAGAACTTCATTTAAAACTGTTTGTACCCTATTGAGATCGTTGATACCTATATTAGCATTAAAAGGTTATTATTGTACACATCATGGTATAGTCTTACCTAGTTGTCCAGCTCCATCACTATCAGGATTAACAGTGGTACTGTCTTGATGAGGCTGTGCTGGTGAAGTACCAGTAGCTATACATGAAAAATCAGTGAGTCACTAATATACCATAATAATTAATATACTATAATATACTATGATACACTATAATTTCAATCATTGCAAAGAGTACATAAATTATCCCCCAAAATTGGAAAGAATAGAATGTGTTAAGAACAATTCACACTGTAGCCAGAAGTACTTATAAACATGGCGTAACATGAAAGTTAAAAAAATTCTCAACTTTTATGTTACAAGTACATTTACACTTTACAGGTACTTCTAGTCATTGCAGTAAGAATTATCAGTTTTTAGACTTTTGAAAAAATTACTACAAGTACATATAAATACCTAAATTATCAGAATTAAAGTATTAATCACTACATGCCATATTTGGTGAATGTATGCATGTTTTTGTGAGCTTACTAGTAGTAGAGAAACTTCTGGTACTTTTCATTAATTTTTTTATAGTTGCAGGACTGACAAGAGCCAAAACACTTATAACAGCCAGAAGAATCATGAACATGAATTGGTTTATAGTAGCCACTGTAATACCAAACAAAATGACAAGAACAACTAAAATAAACTCCCTC